TGAGGACTTTATCCCATAAATATAGCACATCGTAAGACTATATTTCTTCATATATATATATATATATATATATATATCCTCTTTCATAATCCTTGCATTCAGTTCAACCTTGGTGTGACAAGAAGTTTTGTTGGTTTTTGGCTCAAGAGAATGGCGGTCAGGGGAGTTATATGGTCAGATCTAAGTAGTGATGTAGTAGCAGAAATTTTTCACCAGCCATGACTTTCTCCTCCTGCTTCTGTGGTATGTTGCCACACATAGGGTCTTCAGGCACCCACAGGCTTGTCCCAGGAGAACAATACTTCCTCAAGTCATTTGATTTAGGCCTCCGTGTTGAATATGTGGCCCTGTCGGAAGATGAATCGAAGTATAACGTTACACTCATCCAACTCTTTCCGAATCCCCTGTCCTCTCCTGTCGTACTGACGATTCCTAACAGAACTGCATGACGTTTCTGGCTGCGTTATCAGCGTCGTTATGCTCATTTTCTTACAGACGGTGTCCAACAGATCCTACTATATTTTGCAGTTGACAAAAGGAAAAAGAAACAACGGCCATATGCAAAATTGAATATATAAAATGGTGACAAGTTACCTATCGCAAACTTTACATATATATATATATATATATATATATATATATATATGAATATAAAGTAATCCTAAGAAGCCAGCTTTACCCTGAAGATCCATTTAGGTAAAAACTAGGTAGGTTTGCCTGGCTCGTTAGAATTGCTTTAGGTTTGCTCTACTTAGTGTATTGAGCACTTTAAGTAGTTGTCTGTAGCAAATGAGTCAACTTCAACAGTGTAAGGGACGCAACTCTTTCCGTCTGAAAATGTCTGAGACGCTGCAACGCAAAGCCGTGTACACCAAACACGGGTGTAATGCCGTCTGCCAATGTCTCCAAGCAACCTGCTTTTATGGAGCCCAGACACACCTCATTAGCATGTGTGTAACGCGACTTTGCGTGACTGCACGAGACCGTGAATATTAAAAGTCACGGACGCCATCTTGGATCTTTTCTTTCCTTTCTCAACCCACAGGCCAGGCAGATACGAGAGCGTTCGTGAGGTAGGCCGTTTCTATTTTCCCCACATTGTCTTTTACCGTTTTTACTCGTTTTGTTTTTTTTCCTTTGGACTTGGAGCTTAAACACTTGACGATTGTTTTCGCCTTATATTAATGTTCTCGGTTCTTTCTTGTTTTATTTCTTATTTTTCTTGGGGTACCGATTTGTTCTGATGCAAGTTGAGCTATCTGAGGTTTGTCTAAACGAGTACGACCATTTCTCTCTCTCTCTCTCTCTCTCTATATATATATATATATATATATATATATATATATATATATATATACGAATGAAATGAGAAGGAAAATGATATATACATTGTAACGTTCATAGCATTAATACAGAGTGCAGCAATAATTATTTGTTATACCTTTTTCATATAGACAAAATAATTTCCTCTCGACAAAGATGCAACTTCGTTTGATGCATTTAGTTGCACCTCGACTGGTAGGAATCAAAATGGTTATGAACAATTTCGGTTGTAAGCCGGCCGCACGTGAAACATCACTTCCTTTTTCGTATTTGTTTAAAAAAAATAGGTGCATTTTAAGTGTAGGTGTACAGGGATAAAGAGAGGCAAAAGGGTGACAAAATGAAAAAATATCGTTTGTTGACATCAGTTTGGTGAAGGAGTGTCGAGGTGTTAAAGTGATGGCTCAACTCGATGTATGTATCTATGTATGTTTACATGTTTATGTGTAGATATCGCACATTGAGTTCTGCTGTTAATAAAATAGTGCTCAATGTAATATAACAGAGCTATTACATATATAGTAATAGATATAAATATTATCCCTCATTAGTATCACGACTTGGAGATTTTTGCGCTTCTCAATCTTCAGGTGGTATATCAAAAATAGAAGGGATTTATATCTTAGATTTAAAGTAAACGAGGTTTAATAGTTTTATTTTATGTTTAAGATAAACGGGGATTAATGGTATTTTTAAATAACTATTAAACGGATCTAATACTATTAAAATAATTATTTAAAATAGATGAGGTTTGTATCTTATATTTAACATGACATATTCTACATTTAACGCACACACATATACCATTTCTATATGTATATTATTTTCAGTGCATCTATATAACCAAGTATTATTTTTTACAATGACAAACCTTTTCTGGCATAGAATGCAGTTGTCTCTGATGGACATTGTTTGACAGAATAGCTTTTCTCCTTGTCAAAATATGACACAAGACTTTTTTTTTTTTACAATAAAAAATAAATAAGATATCGAAAGTGAATAAAAAATGCAACCTTTCCGCTATTTTATATTAATTGTGTATTTGAAAATATGCAACATTCTCGTCTCTTCCTTTCCGACATACGTTTTATCATTTCTTCTTCTTCGCATTAGTATTATTATTATTATTATTTTATTTCTTTTTACTTTATTTTCTGATTTTCTTGCCCTCCATATTCCTATTCTTTATTTCCATTTTTTCTTTCACTTCCTCTTTCCTGATTTTACTTCATCTTTTCTATTGCCTTCTTCTCTACAAAATTATCCAGTTTTTAATATACTTTATATATATTTCCACGCATTTTAAGATATCATTATCAGCAGCAGCAGAAGCAGCACCATCATCATCAACTCCTTCTCCTTCTTCTTCTTCTTCTTCTTCTCAATCACCTTTTAGAATTTTTTTTTTAAATTTACTTTCGGATTTTGCTCTTTCGATTTTCAGCTTCATTTTCTCCTAATTTTTTATTCATCGTAAACTTTTTTTATACGTCTTTCTTCTTCTGTTTTTATTTTTATTTTCTCTTTCCTTATTACTCTTTCTATTAGACGGTCAATTTTCGTATCTTTCTTCTTTTCTATATTTTACTCTTTCATTCATATATTTCCTGTTTCTCCTTTTCAATCTTTTACACCCAACATTTTTGTCTTCCACCTCCTTTTAAATCGAAACCTCTTTGGTTTACACGATCTGTTTTTTCTATCCCTTCTTTATCTCCATTTACTCATTCTTTAAAACTTTCTTTTCATCTTTTTACACTAATATTCTTCAGTCTTTTATTTCTCCTTTTGTTATTGTCTTTTACTCTTTCCTTTTCTTCTTCATTCTATACCACCTTTTTATTCCTTCTTTTAAATTACTAAGATTCTTTAACTCTCAATTTACATTATATATATATATATATATATATGTGTGTGTGTGTGTATGAGTGTATGTATATGTATATATATATATGTATATATATATATATATATATATATATATATATATATATATATATGTGTGTGTGTGTGTATACACACATATATATACATTTATATATATACATATATATGAAAAATATAGAAATATATATTATGCATATATATATATGTGTTGACTTCTATGTTCACTTTTATATATATATATATATATATATATATATATATATATATATATATATATACATATGTACATACATTTTATATATATTTTACGGCAAAAAAACAAAAAACTTATATATATATATATATATATATTTATATATATATATATATATATATATATATATATAGATTTACATATATAAACACATATATATATACATTTATATATATAAATATATATATATATATATAAACTTATATATATACGCACACATATATATGTATATATATGTGTATATATGTGTATGTATGTATATATATGCACACATATACACACACACAAACGCACACACACACATGTGTTTACTTATGTATATATACACATATATATATATATATTTATATATATATATATATATGCATACATACACATATATATATATATTTATATATTTTCATATATATATATATATATATATATATATATATATATATATAAATGTATATATATATGTGTATATATATATATAAATATATATGCGTACATACATACACACACACACATATATATATGTATATATATATATATATACATATATATGTATGTTTATATATATATATATATATATATATATGTATGTATGTATAAATATATATATATACACACATATATATATATATACATATATACATATACACACACACACACACATATATATATATATATATATATAAATAATCTTGAGTTTTATGGCAGTGAGTGTGCCTTGTATTTTACTAGAGTGACGACGTTTATTCCTTTATTATCGATTCCATAAAATTATGAATAAAACAATAAGAACAGAATACCTAGAAACTTAAAGGAGAGCGAATAACGACAAATCAAAAAGGATATCACAATTTACAATTGTTCGAACAAATATATTTGCTAAAAAATTATGGTACTATTTAAGACCATTAAAAATGTCAACATTGCATCAAACATGTAAATGGCATATTAAATTAAATAAAAATAAATTAAACTGTCAACTCCTTAGTGATCAAATCACTTATAGATTTGAAAAAATATAAATAAGTCCTATATTATTATATCGCGAAATAAATTTCTATTAAATATTATTTTATAAAAATGTCAATATTAATTAACGATATCTCCAAATTAGCACCAAAGTCCTATATTTAGGCACGGTATATTAATGGATAACTGCTCGGGTTGAGAAATCAGATAGTCATGTTCGAATTCCAGTCGAATTCTTTAAATTCAATTACGTGCTATAACCTTAGTAACGTATGAATCCTCTTCTCTTCCCTACCCTCAGCTACATGTAAATAGCCTTGGGTGGCAACCGGTCTAAGAGATGGTGTCTCTGAATTCAATAACCGACCTGCACAGGGTCGGACCCAGGGCATCGCTACCTCCTCACGGCCCCTGATGTAGGCCTACGTGTTGAGTCTGAGGCCTCACCAACAAATTCGAGAGTTCTCTTCTAATCAGATCGATCGATTTTCTGTCAGAGTGAATTGCGTCATAGTTTTCTTTTTCTCACAGATCGTGTCTAACCGACCCTAACCATATTATGTAAAAAGAAACACAAAAACAAGCAACACGCATGCACGAAATTAAAAATATATAATGCCGACAATTTACCATTGCATCCTGTACACACACACACACACACACACACACACACACACACACACACATGTCCCGGTTCACCATGGTCGATTTGTCAGGAAGGAAATTCCTGGTGTTATCGGACTGGATTGAGGTTGATATCAGCGTGCGGCACCGTTGAAAAGTGTCAGAAACCAAACCACGGGTTGACCCAATCCTTGTGAGTGAAATTAGCTAGACGGAACTCTTGTGGGCGGTCGATAGCCGTGCTAGCACGAAGCCACAAGTGATCGTGGCCGAAGGCTTACGCGTGCTGGCTTTGTTCAAATTGTTGATCAGGAGATAACACGTCTCTCTCAGAAACTGTAACTAAGGTCTGCAGTTGCAGTATATGCCACAGGTGGGCTCGCAGGGTGTTGGGCAAACACAAATGTGCCAGAACGAGCGTCTGATTTAGGGATTTTCTAGCCGCTTTAGTAAACGGGTATCCTCGAATACGAATGGCCAGCTATTATATATATTTATCCATTTACACTTGCTTATATATATTTAACTCTATCTATCTATCTATCTATCTATCTATCTATCTATCTATCTATCTATCTCTCTCTCTCTCTCTCTCTATATATATATATATATATATATATATCACACATTGTGTACTGGTGTTAATAAAATAATGCTCAATGTAATATAACATAACTAATACATAATATTAATGGATATCAGTAGTAACATGACTAGGGATTTTATGCATAAATCAATGTTCAGGTGCTCAGTAGGGACAGACTGTTATATATTTTAACTTAATATATATATATATATATATATATATATATATATATATATATGTATCTTAATTTAATACATATATATATATATATATATATATATATATAAAGTTAAAATATATATATATATATATATATATATATATGGTTAACGCAGTATATATATTATGTGGAATACTGGTTTTAAAAATATTTTAAATAGATTGGATTTATATTTCATATTTAAAGTAAACGAGGATTAATGGTTTTATTTTTTTAAATACTAATTAAACTGACGTAAACTTTAAGAAAACAATTATTTAAAAAAGACGGGATTCACATTTTAACACACATACATACATACACACACACACACACACACACACACACATATATATATATATATATATATATATATATATATATATATATATAATTTGAATTGCAAAAACAACAATAATTACATTCACCTGAAAAAGCATTAAAATAGAGATAAAAACAGCAGCCATATCTTCCCCGCCAAATTTCCGTCACCCTTTATTTCACAACAATGTCTAATTACATCGTTTGCAGAAACAACAGAAATATATATATATATATAACAATTCAATACGGAACTATTGAGCACTAATTATAAAATAACTGCTAGCTCTGCAACATGGACGAAAAAGTATCAATTAATAAAACACCACCTGTGGCCTGACTGCTAATCCATCTGTGTATCGCATATAAATAAATGCTTGCTCGCAATTGTAACGGATTTAAATCTGTCTTTCAGTTGTCAAAAAATTTGTGTTGCACCCGTGGGTATACATCTGTTGATTCAAAGTATTTATTTTATAAGAATATTGATAGGAATATTTATTTCATAGGAATATGTTCTTTTAATAGATTCAGATATACGATTACTTGTACATAATTAAGTCAAATGAATTAAAAAAAAAACAACTTATTTTATAGGTTTGCAAAAGAAGTGCCACGGTGCAATGGATAGCGTCTCGGATTGAGTTCGAGTTCGAATTTCAGTCGAATCCTTTACATTCATTTACGTGCTAATACTCTTGGGAAATGTATGAATCCTCTTATTATCCCCCCAGCTATGGGTAAAATAGGACAGACCTGTTTGACTTGGATGACAACTGGTCTACGTCAGAAAGAAATGGCAACCTACTGCTGGAAAAAATCTGCCTTTGTGAGTCATGTATCGAAAGAAACATGATCACCTAAGCGTGTATCACACATGGCACATAACTGAATGACTGAAGAACAAATACACAGATACTTAGATACACAAAACTATTTAAATTTATAAAAGCTAGACATTAAATCTGCACGTAATATTCTCTATTAAATCACGATAGATCCTCTGTTGAAAAATATCTAACATTCTGTTCACAAATAGATATTTGGTTTGTATTGCCATCAAAAAATTATATAAAGAAATATATATTATCTTTTTTTTATCGACGGTAGGTAACTTGATAAGAAATGTGGAAACTCATTAGTATCCATAAGGAGATTGAACCAGATGCTGTATCTTTAGAAAATAAAAATATGAAGTGAAAAAATATTCTGATTACTTAACAACGCGCATCGAACAATCGTTAGCTGATGTTCCGAGTCAAAAAAGTGGGGAAATATCGCAATAATAATAAATGGATGAGAAGCAAACTGGTCTGCAGAAAAATGCAGACACAGGTAAACATTAATCGCGGCAGTAAATAGCTTGGTTTCGTTTGTTTTACGGTATATCACCCTCAGTGGTTTATTTAATGCCGCCAAAATTTTTATTGCTGGTAATATGTTTTTCTTCAAAAATCTATTTCTGGGAATATTTTTTCTTGAAGAAATCTATAGGTGATCATATTTTTTTCATAGAATGTATAGCTGTTTGTATTGCTGGTACTTTTTTTTAAGTATTGCTGATAATAATTTTTCCTTCAAAAATTATTGCTGGTAATATTTTTTTTATTACAAAGTATTTCTGGTTTTAAATTCTATTTTTACACAAGGTTGGGTGTCAACTATTTGACCATAGCTGGAACCCTAACAGGTGCTACCACCCCGGGTCAGGGTGGACCTAAGAACGCCAGCAATTAAAAGGTGGTTCCACGTTCCTCAAAACCTCCTGATCAGAGGCCTTGCTGTTTGACATAGCTTATCGTCTTACCCAGGACGCGGATGTAGTTTATCTGCATACTCAGGACTGGCGGCAGTTATAATAGCAGACAAGAAGCTGTACCTGAAAATAAAAAAAAGGAAATGTAAATTACTAGGTTTATTTAATATTAACTGAATTAAATCATGAGATGCATTTAGAAATAACATCTGGAACTATACAAAAGAAATAACGTAGTTCTCGTAACAAGAACGCAATGTAAGTAAAAATATAT